GAATACAATTCAGATCAGGATGATCCGAAATACCTAGAACCCCAAGAAGTCCCTAGCAGTTATGAAATAACTGAGTCTGTTGTGGATCCGGTATGGTTGCAGACAGCTACCGAGAAAGACTATTGCCAACATGGTAAACGCTTCTACCGTCATCCTGACGGCTATGAAATCAGATTACCAAGCGAAGGTCAAACGGCTTTGGACTGCCCTCCCGGCCACGTTGTTGTTTATGCCAAACATTTCGAATTTGGTTTACGGTTTCCACTTCATCATTATATTGAAAAAATATTCAGGGCTTGGAATGTATTAATTGCACAGTTAACGCCTCCAACCATCCGAAATATAGTCTCTCTTGTCTGGGTTATGATATTTATGGACTTTCCCCTTACCTTGAACTTATTTCGGAGGTTGCACTGGATAAAGAGAGATAGCCAGTCACCCATATGGTGGTCTCTTTTTACTGCTCCCGGGAGATGCACTGTGTGGCCAAAATTGACCAGTTGCAAGAACTGGAAGAAAGAATTTTATTTTATGAGTGTTCCCGATGATTTTACCGTCCGTAGGACATTTTACCACCCTCACAGTATGTTCGAGACCATACGGTCGAGAGCGTTAGGAAAGTTGGAGAAAAAAGCTTTTAAGTGGTTTAACTGTACATATGTTAGTGCTGGTAAGAAGAATAAAGTTGTTCCGGGGGTGTGGTTGCCCCATTGTAATTATATACTGGGCAACGCCCCTCTATCTCATGTCGGTCTCTGCCATAGCGATGCATTTGGTATGAAAATGTTTATAAATTATATACATATACTTATATTTATCTTTACTGTACTTGTGCTTTGCATTTGAAATTAATTTTGACAAGTGTTTTGCCTGCTTATTCTCTTACCTGTCTGCGTATATTTTACTTATACATGTTCTCTCTTTTTTTTTTTTTTTTTTAACGCCTATGTTTACCTTTATGATGTCGGTGTATTGATGTTTATTATCGGGTGTTTCTACCACCAGGTATTGACAAACTCGACTACAGCCGACTAGGGTTGCTTCCTGACGGGAGAGTGAAGCAACAGTGCCCAGGTCGGCCAAAAAAGTCATACGACACCCTTCCCGTTTTCGCCACCAGAGACTCGAAAAGGAAAAGAACGAGACAGCAAGATATGGCTCCTACCGAACGCGTTGCCAAACCCCGTACCCTAGCTGTGAAAAGGGGTGGCGAGAATGTGTCTAATAGGACGTGTGAGTCCTCCGACCGAGAGCAACGGAAGAAGCAGAAAAAGCGAGATGGCGATGCGGCACCTCTCCATCAGGAGGCACAAGAGACATGGCCGAAAGGGGTCGTTAATTTGGAGGACGAGACCGATCCCCATCCTCCGAAAAAGCTGACAGTCACCTTAAGGGATCCAACTGGTCCTAGGGTCGGCAGCGAGGCCAGAACCGGCCAGGTGGCCAACATTGATAAGCCTCCGAGCAAGGAGACAACGGTCATCTCAACGCGCACTGGCGGCCCCAGCAAAAATTCTTTCGTCCCGGCTCTTGTCGGTGACTTCATCGAGATTCCGTATGTCAGAATCCCGGAAGAAGTTGCTGACGAGTTGGTTGTACCCTTTGGTGTTGTCGGTGATCCATGGCATCCCCGGATCAATGTTAATCGTGGCGAGTCTGTTCTCTGCGACGATCCTAGCACTGGCGGGAGCATGGGTTGGAGGGTGCTAAAGGATTTGGCGACGCCAGTCGACAGGCCTGTCAACCGCGTTGCCGCCCCTTGCGGCCAGCTAATGAACAACATGCTCCGGGTAAGACAACAAAGAATCCTTGTTATTTTATTATGTTTATTTACATATGTACTATTTGTGTGACTAACGGCCAATTTAATCATTATCTCCAGACCGTCAACTCTGCCGTGGAGGTGGTACATATGTACCAGCACTACAGCGTGCTGCCGATCAAGCCGAGACAAAGCTGAAGAAGGCTGACGATGCTTGCAAGGCCGTTATCAAGGAGCGTGACAAGGTGAAGACCGACATGAAGATGCTCTTCCAGATGAACTTCTTCACCTCGTTCGCCGTGATCTTTGCTACCGGTTCCGCTTCTATCCACTTGGTGAAGTAGTCTATCCCTACAATCAAAAACTTTCGGCCACCCGTTGCTGACGTGAACGGCCCAATAATGTCCATTCCCCATTGAGCGAACGGAATTGGGTTAAGAATGGGTGTTAAATCATTTGGAGGTTGATTAATCACCGGCCCATACTTCTGGCATTTATCACATTTTTTAACGTACCTCCATGGTGTCTGCATTCATTGTCGGCCAATAGTAGCCCCGTTTCATTGCCTCCAAGGACATTGACCGACCCCCCGCATGATTACCGCAATCACCCTCGTGTATTTCTTCTATCAGCCTTGCCGATTCATACGCTGTTATACACCTTCGCAACGGTAGCGAAAACCCCCGTTTATACAATGTGCCCCGAAACATAATAAACCAGACGCTGTCTTTCTTGATCTTTCTTGCCTCCATCTTATCGGCAGGAAGGACGTTATGTACTTTGTAAGCTAAGATTTCGTCATACCATTATCGACCTTCACTTGTACAATATACATCCTTAGGAGGTTGTTCATCAATACTCTTTTGTTTCAAAATTTCTACCATCACCGTCCTCTCTAAATCGTTAAAGCTTGAACTTGCAAGTTTAGCCAATGCGTCTGCTTGCGTGTTCATTGCTCGAGGAACCAATTTTATTTCGAAATATTCCAGATTAGATGTAACACTCTTGAGTTTTGCCAGATATGTCGTCATGCTCGGCTCTCGAGTTTCATAAGTGCCATTGAACTGATTTGCTACCAGTTGCAAGTCAGTTGTCATCTCAATACGTTTTGCTTCCGCAGATATGCATAGTTGTAACCCTGCCAAGGCTGCTTCATACTCTGCCTCATTATTCGAGGTTTGAATTTGAACTTGATAGCATATTCGAACACATCTCCCTGGGGTTCCTGCTTCCCCTCCTTCTAGCGTCAATTGTTCTAGCGCCAATTGTTCTAGCGCCAATTGTTCCTGCTGAATTCAGCTTCCGTCAGTGTCCGAGGGCTGGTAATGGTTTACCGTCCAATTACACACCTACACAGCCAATACAGATTAGCTAGCCCGGGGGTTATCCGGGAATAACCACTCCGATGCTAAAGTCAATACCTTTGTGAGAAGAAAGTGAAATAAGAGAGAGAAAGTGTTTTAGGGAGAGAGAGATTCTACCTTTGAAATGGGGATTTGCTTGGGTATTTATAGAAATACAACCAAGCAGGTGCCAGCTATACAGATAGGTGGCACACCGACCTTATACGTGGCCCCAAGCAACTCTCCACGTGCCAGAGAGACATGCTACGTGACGAGAAGCAGCTCTCCACGTGGCATAGAGTAATGCCGGTAAGGACCATGGTTTATTCGCCGATTAATGAGGGCTTAAACTGCACAACATTCTTTTACCGGTTTATGAAGGATGCTACCAGCATATCAAGGTTGCTACCATTATATCCCGTACAATTACATAACGTTTTCCCATGTTCCGGCCTTAGATTTTCGATTGCCAACCTTCCCAATCGCTTTAGCGTATCCAAACCGGGCACCGGAGTAGGCGAACTTCCATCCACAAATGCTAGCTTTTGCAGCTCCTTGAAATTATTCAACACGCCGTTTTAATCCTTACAATTGAACAAGCGATCCCACGTTTGTCCTTAAACTCGTCAACTTCCTTAGAACTTCGGTCTAATAATCCCCATATTCCCAACAGCCACCCTGTGCTGTCTTCTTGCTGGTTTTCTATTTGATGAGTTGATTCAAGCAGCTTATATTCGTCAATGATATCTTCAACTTTAAAAACCAATACTCGTAAATTACTCAGTTTCTTAAGTTGCTCCTTTGTTTGATCATTTGTTCTGTCAACCTTTACCTCGGCCTTTTTCAAGTAATCTTTCGCGATATCCATTTCGTTTTTGATGTCATCTAGTAATTCAGGGACACTCTGAAACTTTTGTGTCTCAGCTTGTAGTACAGGAACAACCTTTTCCATGAGAAAACTCAGCAATTTATCTGGTATTGGTATTGCTAAAGCCATTTTGTCCAACTCTTATTCTTGTAAGTTTGTACTGCAAATAGATAAAGACATTGGAGAAATTTATTATCATTGAGACATTATTACTAAAGAATTCTTTTTTTGAAATATATGCAAGTCCCATGAATTGTGTTGGATATATACTCTCTGCGGCATCCTTTAATGTTTGCCCCATTTACATTTTTACTTTGGAAAATTTGTCTGAAATGGACATATAAGTTCACTATTTTGTTTGAAAGGACCTTATATCTTTAAAATAGTTTAAAAGGACCTTATAAGTTTATTTTGTTTGGGGGACCTTGAGATCGGAATCCGACAATAATTGACTTATTCCTCCAACGTTAACCTCTATGACCTTAAAAATGACCCTCTTTTCTTTTTTATCCATGATTTCCGTCAAATTCCCTTTTTTTTTTATTTGTGTCATTTGGGGATTAGAAAAGAGAGAGTGAGAAATTGGAGGGACGTCATGGAAAAAAAAAAGAAAAAAAAAAGTGGGTCATTTTTTAAGGTCATGTAAGAGGTCAACATTGGAGAAATAAGTCAATTATTGTCGGATTCCGACCTCAAGGTCTCCCCAAACAACAAAATAAATTTATAAGGTTCTTTTAGACCACTTTAAACAAATAAGGTCCTTTCAGACAAAATAGTGAACATATAAGTCTCTTCTAGACAAATTTTCCTTTTACTTTAAATTCTCAAGAAACAAGTTTGATCAATAATATCTTAATCTATAGCTTGTAAACTACTACGTCTTAGTAATGCTTTTGAAAACTCACAAGAATCATTATGAAACTAATCCATCAATTTTATTTATTTATTTATTTTTTATATATAGATTATTAGAATATGTAGTAACAGTTTTTTAAACCTTTCACTCTCAATAGGCATTAAATCTATAACCATTATAAAATATGCAAAAGAATTTACTGTAGCTGGTAAATAGTACTTTGTGGTGCTATTACAGCATTGCCCCTAAAATTAAAGAATTGCCAATTTTGCCCCTTTACTTTCCCCTTACTCTCTCACCGACTTCCTCACCTTCTTCCTCACAGACTTCCTTCTCTTTCCTCCTCATCTCAAAAAAAAAAGCTCAGAATTCTTAATGGAAAACAAGGAGAGAGAAACCTAGAGAGAGAAAATATGTCCTCCTTCAACAATGATGGCGATGAGCTCAAAATCACCGATCATCCTTGAAAAACCATGGCGATGGGATTCGCTTCTTCTCAGTGTTTCAATTTCATCAGTTTTGGCAACGCGGTTGCTAAGGTTCATTTATCTTTCTTGTTCTAATTGGTTCGATACTTTGATGTTCATCTCATCGATTAGATTTTTACCTTTTATATGAAGGTTATTTTATTTATTTCTAGGCTTTTCATGTAGTTTTTTTTTATTATTGAATTTGATTTCAAATGGTTTCCTAAAGCAAAGATGTTCGGAGGAATGTTTTAGAAGAAACCAAGCAAGGAAGAAGCTCTGCCGCTGCTTCGATCCCACGGATTGATGTTCGGAGCATGGGTTGTTGCTATTCGGGTCACTCCTTATGTTCTTCAGTATTTTTCCAGAAAGAGGAGATTACTTTGGATCTTTGATTCAACCCCACCAAAATTAAGGTATTAGTCTTATAAGTTTTCAAGATATTGACTTTATTTGATTATTAATTTCACTATTTTACGTTATATGGGTGTTTTAGATGTTAAAAATTTAATTTTTGCGAGGAAGATGGACCCAGGTTTGGTGGATTCGAGTTTGAGGTGAAGATACACGGGTATTATTGGATGTTTGTTCTTTTTTTTTTTATATTATTTTGAAACATGTTTTGATATTATATTATAGAGGACTAACAGTTTGATGTATCTGAAAGTTTAAAGTTTCGGTCATATTCAGGTTAGCAGTGCGAGGCATGAGATTCTTTTCGAAACAATCCAAACCCTCACCGATTTTACTTTCATATTGACTAGAGCTTATGTTTCAGGCGAAGATGGATGTTTCATGGATGGTGAGTAAATACCTAGATTGTTTAATTAGCAATCAATTTTCAGGGTTTATGATGCCTTCTGAATATACTTCTGATTTACCAGTCTTTCATGTCATGGATGTGTATGTGCAGAAAATTCAAGGTGAAGGACTTATTGACCATTTATGCTAGGCAAGATTCTAAACATTCAATTTTTGCTACAAATTTACTTCTTAAGATTAATATAATGATAATCTGTTGTAAGATAATATGATTCATTTCTGGAAGTAATTTGGTGAAATCTGAAGTAAAAAAATATGTTTTATTACATTGTAAGAGTAAAATAATATAGGCATAGTGGATCGTTGAGTCGATTCAATTGCTAAAGATTTGCTTGGTGTATTTCTTAATGGGGTTTTGTTATTTTTTACTTCTGTTTTTATGATAGTGTGATTTCTTGGGATCTGATATTGTGATTGCAATTTTTAGTTGGGGATTTGTTAAGCTTTGATTTTTGTTGTAATCTACTTTGAAGTTGATTTAGTAGTGCTACCATTTTTGATATGAGGTTTGAACTGTAAGGTGAAAGATTGATTTGTTAAGGGTTACTTAATTTCGAATTTTTTGATTGGAGATTGATTTTTAAAAATTTTGACAGTTATTAATATTGAATTTTATGAACTAGGTATTAATAAAAATGGGGGTTATAGGTGACATTCCGGTAGCAGCTATTGAGGATGTAGAGCGCTGCTAAGTACTTATGTGATGTCTTTGCAAAGATATGAATTTCAGTGGCCTGTTTGATCTGGTTTGACAATATGATCATGTTTTGATAAATTTGTGTGGTTGGAGTCCCTATTACAATTTATACTACAAATTAAGATACATCCTAAATACATAGTATTTAGATTTCCGTTCAGCACCTATTTTACACTTGCAATTTGGATCTTGTTCATTTGTATAGTTAATATGTTGCATAACATATTTAAAATTGAGCAAGCTTTGTGTGTGCTCGCTTGCAATGTTGTTTTTCAATTTATATTTGAAAAGAATAAGCATATATAATTACTTTATCTCCTTTGCACAATCATACAATTTCCCTATTCTGTTTGAAGGTCATGGAGTCTTGAAAGCAGTCTCTCTGTTAGTTGCGTAACCTTTATTTTCCCGACCCTGATTTCATAATAGTGTAGCATGTTATTGATGCCGCACGTTTATGTATGTTATAGACTTCATAGTTTTATTTGTAGTCTTTTACTTATGTACTAAGTCCTAGCTCTGAAGTTATGAAAACGAAAAGAGTATATGTTGAATATTAATGCGAATTTGGCGTACTATACAATAAGCGTCTTCTTTTCTTTCTTTTGCAATTTTATCATCAGTTTCAGGGCTTCAAGTTGCGGAAACAAAACTAAATAAGGGTTAGTTGCTGTACTGACCTTCTATTCTTTGTAAACGCTGAAATTCTTAGTTATGCAGCTCATGTTGGAGCATCCAAATATATTGTTAGTAACATTATTGTCTGATTTGTAACAGAATTGTTGATCTACAGGTACAATTCTATCTCCCCTTTCTCTTTCTTGTTCTAATTGGTTCAATTTTCACCTAACCTTTAATATGAACAGCTTACTTGTTATTTTTTTCCATATCTTTTCATTTTCTCCCAATATTTTCTCTTTTTAATATGCTTATATGCATATGGTGTTTGCTGCCAAAATTTATGCTGTCAAGTTAGATATTGCTGTTGTGAGTGACTATAGAGGGTAGCTGTTGTTTCACGCTGTTGCCGCTGTTATTCTGGTGCTGCCCTGTTACTGCTATTCTGTTCGTCCAAAAATCATCGACCTGAAGTTGTTTTTAGCTCATAGTCCCTTCATCAATGTTTTAGATCTCGAAAAGTTATTCAATCTAGGCTCAAGAATTTCTCGATTTGGAGTTGTGTGCTAGGAATTATGCCTTCTGGAATTTACTACGGTCTGCTACCCTGGTTCTATCGCAGCGGGCTGTTATTGCTCATTTGATGCCTATGTGGTGTTGTTGTGTTGAGTTGGTTGGGGTGCTAAAATGAATGCTTGGGCTTCTCTTATTTATTTTGTCTTCCCTTCTTCCTTTATTTACACATTAGTTATAAAGTTAAAATGTGGGCAATTTTGATTAATGACTATTTGGATAATGACTAATTGATAATTTGCCAAAGTGATGAGGGATTAATGTGTATGTTAAATTTTCAGATGTGTGAGTGACTAAAGTTAATTAGTTTAAATTAAATGTATTGAAGGGTTTAAATGTTTATAAAATAGATTTGATGAACGAACACTAATCTCCCCAAGTTTATTCATCACTCTTAATTAACTTCTTATTTCGTATTACATGAGCCTTTTGTTGTTTTTATTAAATGAGGTGAGAAAATATATATGTAAAGGTTTGTACATGTGGTATGTCTAGATAAGGGTTGTGTTCTACTTATATGAATGTAATAACTTATCAAGTGAGGTTGGGAAGTATTAAGGAGTCAACAAAGAAGTCATGTTTGATATGATAGTCTCCTTATAATTTATTATTATATACGTGAGAGTAATTTACACCATACAACTGATAACTTGAGAATCCTTTATCTTTTCTACTGTAATATTTGCAGCAATTGCAGGTTGGTGCAAAATAATGCAGTGCTTGAAGTTAGTCTTGTGCTTCTATAACAAAAAAGAAAATTCAACTGCGTGGCCCTCCTTGATTCCATATCAACTTAACTACCGAGAAAGCAGCCTGGACATCCTTGTTAGAGTAAAGAGGTTAGTCTTTCAAATATATTCACTCTTATCTCCTATTTTTGTATGGCAACTATGTGTGTCGTTTCCTGCTTAAATTTAATGATGGTGAGCAGGATCGTGATCCTTCGTATCTGAAGTAATAATTAGTTTTTATTCAAAAGATGTGCAAAGTTAGATCATTGTTAGACCTTGCATTTCTATGAATCTCCATGAGTTTGTGAGGCGATGGATTCTAAAAGTATATCAAGCTATTATGTTTGAGATTATTACAATATACTACTCTTCTAGACCTCTTGTTCTTGAGCACTTCAGTTATTTTACATCTCTGCTTGCTTACTTTATTTTCTTGATTGTATTTATTAAAAAAGCCTGCCAATGGCCCAATACTCATTAAAGCTTAGAGAGTAGTCGTTACTTTAGGAAAATACAACTCATCACGATCACCAAACAACGAAGTCATGACATGAAATTGAATATTGTTTGTCATTTGTCATTTATGACTTTATCGATCCTATAACACATAATGTGTGCTACAAAACTGACAGAAGTTTCTGAAGTGCACATAAGGAAATAGATGACTTAATGTTCCGAAGATTCCTCTTACTTGTAATCTTGTGAAGAAGACAGGTTCCATGTTCTTAAAGTATTTGAAAAGGAGGCCGACTTTTCTGCCTAAAGTTTGTCATAAGATAAGAGAAACATTATGACCTTTCCCATAACAAAGTTAATCTAGGGGACACCCTACTATGATTGCATGATTGCGTTCTCAGGTGGGCATTACCTAAATTCCAAATCTGGTCGGAGGTATTGATGAGTTTAAGCGTACGTCTCTTCCTGTTTCTTTGATTATTTAGATTGCTCACTTATACTTCAGTTGCAACTATCTACATCAATGTTTCTGCTATTCATACTTGTTTTGTGTGTTTTTATACAGGTCTTCTTGTATAAAATCTTGATGATCTGTGAGCAATAATGTACCCCTCGAATCTGTCAGCTAGCCCTGATACAACAACTGAGTTGTAGTAACTCTAAAGTTACTGTAGTTCTCACTCGCTCACTCTGCTTTGTTGAGTTCCAGGGGGAAAAGAAGAGAAGATCGAGAGGAAGACAATCTCAGAGAATTTCTCAATCACTCTGCTCAAATGCTTTTGGAGCTCCGAACCTCATAATAAGTATCTGTGAGTGACTTCTTGCTTTTATGGATTTTTGCAGGGTTTTTTTTTTTCTTTGTTGTGCTTGTATGAATTTAACTGTATTTTATAACTATCCTTATTAATCTTTAAAGAAAGATTTTGTTGACCTACAAATTTCTGAACATTTAGGCTTTGTTATTATTAATAGAGAAAAAAAAATCAATTCTTTATTTTGTATAATGTAGCCAGCAAGCTTACACTCTCTTTTTCTGGCAGCTCTTACTAAATTGTTGCTTCTTCGTGTTTCTTCTGCACATCCTGTATGCCTTGTTCTTGAGTAGGCTTGGGATGAAGGCATCATTGGCATTCCAGAATTATGGTGCTGAATGAATAGTGGGTTCTATGAATTGTTTTTGGGTTTATTTCTTAATATATACTGCTTTGGTAAAACCTCTCATCTTCTTATGATGCTTTGCCTTATACAGTACATTTATATTTAGATTAGAGAAATTGGCAACACATTATTCTTTTCGTCAAACATGATAGACAATGAACTTGGTTATTGCTTATATATATTAAGCATTTTTGGTTAATGGCTGCTCGTAAAGGCTCTCATGGGAAGACCCACAATTTTCTATGGAATGCTTATTGTGAGATTTCTTATATTTGATTTCTGATCGGACGTGTATGCAGCTTAGTGTTTTTTTTTCTTTTTTTTCGCATTATATATTTATATTGTGCCTTGTGGATATAAGTCTAGACCATGCTTTTCCCCATAGATCTATCGCAGATTAAGTGTATAAGCTGTTAAAGGCAGCTAGAATAATAGAATTAAGTATCTTGAATTTAAAGTATCAGCTTTTGCATATGCCTTCATCATCATTTAGATATCTTAAATATTTGTCCGCAAGTTAATACATTTGTTCTTTTTTGTTTGCTTATCTATGTAACTGATATATCTGCAGTTTAATTATTTGGTGGTTACAAATATCTCTTAATATGGGTGACATTCAGAATGCTCCTCTTTCAGAAGAGGAAACTACTTGTAGGTTTCTTTTGTATGAACTTTAGGTATATATATGAACTTCACGTAAAATACAAGCTAATTGTTTATCGTGTTATCATATGTGATTAGCTCTATTTTTTTATTCTACTGTTTTATGCAGATAATTTTGGGATGAAGTGAGCAAGCCTGAAATATTAGGGCCAAGATGTTACTTGTAGCAGTGGAGCACGTGCTTAAAGGCGCCAAGAAGACAAGGATACAACCAGATGAAGCATGTGTGAGATGGTGATAGTATTATAGGTTGAGGTTATGGGATTTAATTTCATTTGTAGTACAAGTAGTATTTAATTTATATTTTTAAATGGTAGAAATGGGTAGAATTAGATACGTAAATGATGAAGTAATGCAAGAGCATATAAGTGAATATATGAGCATAATGTGTACTTGTTTTCAACTTCAATATGTGTATTGTGATTTTAGTAGAGAAATTATATCTTTGTTCTTGAGGTTAGGTATCAAGTTGGTGCTTTTTTTTTAATTTATTTATTTTGAGAAAAAGGGTTAATATCAAGTTGATTAATAATACATTTAATACAAAAGAAAAAAATAAAAAATAAATAAACACAAATTTATAAGGTATAATGAGATAGTTTGCATAGAAATTCAAGTTGATTGTAGTAGTTAGTAGAAATTATATCTTTGTATACCTATTTGATTTAAAATCAACTAAGTTTTAAGATTTACAAGGTATTGAGATGCTTTATGTAGAAATTCAAATTGATTAGTTAATACTATATTTTAAACAAAAAATCAACATCTTTCTCTTTATTATTATGTGAGGAATAAATGCTCAAAAGATGCATTGTATTAAAGGACGGAGGGAGTAATATATTTTTTTTAAGAATCTTTAAATTATAGCAAATTCTAGATAACTTCACTTATAACAATTATTTTTCATACATATTTCCCCATAGACACTTATAAATTCATGTATTCTTGCTATTACAAAACCTGAACACAACCACAAATATCACAACAACCGAACACAACCACGAATTTACTTATCTTGCCGTCGGGGGGGCACGCGCAACGCGTGTGCTCCAACGACTAGTATGGATAAAAAAGTTAAAGGATAGAAGAAGTAGAAAGCTTAAGGATGATAAGAAACATGACACTTATTAAGGTAAGGCCAATCACTATAGGCACATAAATTAAAGAAAAGAAAAAAAAAATAAATAAATAAATAAAAATAATAAACTAGATGCATTATATTGTTGTTAAATTATGTAAAATAAAAATAGGAATTTTAAAAAAACAGACACGATATTTTGAGACACCCAAAAAAGAATGTTGGCGCTATATTATTAAACAAAGGATTAATAAAATAATAGATATCTTAGAAGTTCATATTTAAACGGTTAAAGAATCAACTAAACCAAAAGTTTAAGGGCTTGTTTGGCATCGTTTTTTTTTTTAAAAAAAAATACCAAAAACAAGAAACATGATAAAGGTGTTGCCACTTTTCTGTTGTCAGCTTTCAAAATTATCATGATTTTAATAAATTTGACTAATTTTTTTTTATTATATGACATATTTTATATGATTTTGAAAAACAAAAATAACAGAAAATCACAGTGATACCAAATGAACCCTAAGCTAATGATTAAAGTCTAGGAATAGCAGGTTTTACAATATATCACGCCCCTTCACAACTCTTGCCACACCATGAAGCCCGCAAATAAGAGTTATACTCTATTATAGTTCATAAACAATGTGAATTCTATAAGAACTGCGATCTTTTGGATAAGAAGATCAAAATTTAGATAAATATCAAATTAGACAAGATTATAAAGCTTCAATTCATACTAAGCATGATACTCCCTCCGTTCCTTTATTAGAAGTCTAATTCGAATATTTATTACTCGCATAATAAAGAGAAATGGGCATTTTAATTTAGGAACAGATCAAGAGAGTAATAATTTATAATATTATATTAGAACACTCAACTAAAAATAACAGTAAAACACATCCTAAAAGATGGAAATTGAGAGGTGGCACAAAATGACTAACTTGTCAATTTGCCATCATAATATAGAAAAAGTACATGAAAACCTGAAAAGTACAAATAAGAAACTAAGGCTTGTTTGGGAGTTAGATGTTAGATGTTAGCTCTTAGAGGCTAGCGGATTGAGTTAACTGATTTGACTACCTGATTATGATAGCTGATTTGATTAATTGGTTATATTAGCTGTGTGTGTAAAATTGTTTGGTAAGTAGCGGTTAGTTGTTAGCTGTTTCAAAAATAAACTAACCAAAATGTTGAAAGCTCTTCCAAAAACCTTATTATATGAGCTTTTTCATCCCAAAACTCTCTTCCAAACCTCTAACTATCAAACACTTCAAATAGCTTTTTGAGTTGGTCAAACCCCTCTTTCTTACTTCTCAAATCGCTTTTTTTCCATCAAACTTCTAACTCCCAAACACCCCCTATCAGGGCTATAGCAATAAGAGGTTTGTTTAAACTTTTTAGAAGACAAACCTCTTATTGTTTGGAGGAGTAAAAAAAATGTTGATGTTTGTAAATTCAAACCGGTTTGATTTCGCATGCCTCCATACATTTTACATGTTGACAAGTGGAGTTTGTTGGGGCCTTTTTTTTATTTTGATGAATTTAATGAGTTGTGTTGACAATAGCTCTTTATACATAAATCTTTGAACAAATTTATCTATATTTGATAATAGGTTAATTGGATGAGCAATTTGTATGATGACCTAGCAAGTGAACAAACCCTATGTATTGAGGGATATATTTTGAGAATATCTTAGGATATATTTTGTTACCTATTTTATGGCATAATATCTTTTGAGTATATTTTTAGGGAGTTTCCTAATTCTATCAAATTAGGGAATAACTTGTATTATATATTTTGATGATAGTAATCAATGAAATTCAAGCTTTGAGGTTTTACATAATTTAACATGGTATCAAGAGCAGGTTGAATTCCTTTCGTTTTTTTTCTCTTCTGAATTTTCTAAACCATGGCTGGAGATGATGTTCCTCCGCCACCCCCACCGACTGAAATTAAACCAAATTCCCCCTTTTACCTGGATTTCATAACCCCTACTCGATTAAAATCTGATAATTATGATGATTGGGCCGCTGATATACAAACAGCTTTGGAGGCGCGACGCAAATTCTGTTTCTTGGATAATACCATCACCGCCCCTGTTTCACCATGTACAGCATCTGACTGGACAGCTATCAACGCCATGTTGATATCCTGGATTACAAACACAATTGACCCTGAGGTACGTTCTTCCCTTTCAAAGTTTCGTGAGGCTCGATTTCTATGGGACCATCTCAAGAAACGTTATGCACAAACTAATGGTCCTAGAATACAACAATTAAAATCATCAATTGCTAAGTGTGAACAATCTCGTGATATGTCTGTGTCAGTGTATATGGAAAATTGCATTCTTTATGGCAAGAATTGGATCATCATGAGCCTCTAATTTCATGTTCTTGCTGCTCAAATTGTGTTGCTGGTCGATTACATGAAACTAGGCGTGAACAATCGAAATTACACGATTTTCTTATGGGTCTATACTCTGATTTTTATAGCTCGTTGCGTACTAATATTTTGTCACAAGATCCTCTGCCTAGCCTAGATCGTGCGTACCAGTTAGTAATGCAGGATGAGAGGGTACGTTTAGCAAAGCAGGAACAAGAACATAGGCTTGCTGAAGCTCTTGGCTTTGCTGTCCGTAAGCGTCAGGTCGTGGGCAGGAGGTTCATGATCGTGGAGGTTATGCCTCGGTGTGTGCTAAGTGCAAGAAGGTGGTTCACGAGACCTCGAATTGTTGGTCGGATAAATATATGCAATTATTGCAAAAAGAAAGGTCACGTGGAGGCTAAATTCTTTGACCTCCATGGTAGACCCCCTCCGAGAGATGGCAGCCAAGGGGGGAAGTCTTCGTCTGGTCGTGGCCAAGGCACAGTACGTGCCAATGCTGTTGCTTCTAATGACACCTCTTTTTCTCATGGTCAAGTCTTTTCTAGCGAACAATGGAAAGCAATTACGGGATTGTTTGGTAATTCAAAAATTCCCGAAACCCGATTGAATAGTAAGTTTGATGATACTTCTTGGATTATAGACACAGGAGCAACACATCATGTTACCGGTGAAAAATCTTTGTTGTTTGATACTAAGAGTTTCGAATGTCCTGTTGGTTTGCCTAATGGTCAAACCGTGGTGGCTTCTATGGTTGGTTCGGTTTGTTTGTCGAACAAGATTACTCTTACAGGGGTTCTTTTTGTTCCTCAATTGAGTTGTAATTTGATTTCTGTGTCTCAACTTGTTGATGAGCTTAATTACATTGTCCAATTTAACTCTTATATGTGTGCTATACAGGACCAAACGAAGGAGCTGATTGGAACGGGAGCTAGGAGAGACGGATTATATTATTTTAGCAATTCGGATTCGGTGCATCATGTTGGCATTGGTGAAGCAACCTCAAATTTGGAGTTGTGGCATCGTCGAATGGGGCATCCTTCCGAGAAAGTAGTTAAGTTGCTTCCTCATGTTAGTAGTAATAAAGATTGTCTAGATAAGGGGTGTGAAGTATGTATGCGTGCTAAACATCCTAGAGACAAGTTTCCTTTAAGTGATAGTAGGGCCTCTAGAATTTTTGAGAAAATACATTGTGATTTGTGGGGTCCATATCGACATGTTTCGTCGTGTGGAGCTCGTTATTTTTTAACTATTGTTGATGATTATTCGAGAGCAGTTTGGATTTATTTATTGGTTGATAAAACTGAAGTTTTTAGAATGTTTTTGGCCTTTGTTGCAATGGTTGATAGACAGTTTTCTCAAACCATAAAGATTGTGCAAAGTGATAATGGTACTGAGTTTAATTGCTTGAATGATTATTTTGTTGCTTCGGGAATTATTTTTCAAACCTCATGTGTCGGAACTCCACAACAAAAAGGGAGGGTTGAGCGTAAACACAAACACATTCTTAATGTTGGGAGAGCTTTGCGATTTCAAGCTAATTTACCTATTTATTTTTGGGGTGAGTGTGTCCTTGCCGCTGCTCATCTTATTAACCGCACACCCACACCTCTCCTCCAAAATAAAACTCCCTTTGAAATTCTTTTCAATAAAACCCCTTCCTTTGATGCAATCCGCACCTTTGGATGTTTGTGCTTTGCTCATAATCAGAAAACAAACGGTGATAAATTTGCAAGTAGGAGTAGGAAGTGTGTTTTTTTGGGGTATCCTTTTGGAAAAAAAGGTTGGAAAGTGTTTGATCTTGAATCGAAGGTTTTCTTTGTTTCTCGTGATGTGAAATTTGTTGAGGAGGTGTTTCCGTTTGCTACTCCGGATGACGTGAATATTTTATCTTCATCTCATGATAATGGAGAAATTCATGAGGATTTTTTGGGTTTTGAGGTTTTTGATGATGATGGGATGATTTTTAATGGTGGTGAGGTGTATGTGGAGGA